TCTAAGACCTTTTAGATACCCTGTGGTAAGTGGTAAAAGAGTCCAGCTTTATAGACAATAATTCCAGATTAGAATGGTGGCTCTTCTGCTTTCCATCTGTGCAAACTTCAGCATGTTACTTAAGCTCTTTAACCCTAGAGGTCTCTACCTACTGAGATTAATAAACTTTACCTTAAAGTTTATTACTTAAAGTAAATAAACTGTACCTTAATGTACATCAAATGCCTTGCACATAATGGGACCTCAATATTTGTTAGTTTGCTAATCTCTTTGCACCATACATATCTGCTGTGTGCATTCAGCACTTAATATATTGCTTAGCACAGCCGAGTTTCTAAATAAATAATGAATGGTGTAATGATGATGGCATCCTGGCATTGCAGCACAGTAGTACACTCCAGGTGTCCTAATCAGTCTGGCCAAATGCCAACCAACTTCCAGACTTTTAAGGCCACTTTTGACCAGCCAGCCTCCTAGTGAGCTGCCAGCTCAACAAAGGTGCAGGAGGAAAAAGAGGAAAGTAAGGACCATGGATCTGGGTCACCCCAAATTTCTGACCCACACAATATTGAGCTAAATAAATAGTAGTTATCTTAAGCAATCAAGTTTTGGGGAGGTTTGTTAAGCAGAAGAATTATGGTATCAACAGGTAACTGGGTGCACATGCTTTCACATGACAGATATGCAATGTCCTAGTCTATTCAAGCTTCTTTAACAAAACAACACAGACTGGGTGGCTTATAAACAGCAGAAATTTGTCACACTTCTGGAGGGGAGAAGTCCAAGATCAAGGTGCCAGCATGGTCAGGTGAGGGCCCTTTCCAGGTTGCATGTATCCTTACATGGAGGAAGGGGTAAGGGAGGTCTCTGGAGCCTCTTTCATAAGAGTACTAATCCTATTCATGAGGGTCCTACCAAATAATTTCCCAGAGTCCCCACCACCTTTGGGGATTAGGATTCAATACAAGAAATTTGAGAAGACATAAACATTCAGACCACATAATTATTATTTTTTGGGGGGGAAAAACCTATTTTAATTATTCATCAGCAAGGTACCGTGAATGATGCAATGTGAACATACAGCATAGTGTTAATCCCACGCTGCCAACAGTCTTGCTGGTAAGACAAATGCCCAGGCATCTTTTGCCTTCATGGCTGTTGTGTCCATGTCTGCATATGTTAAACTGATGTTCTATGACCTCCAATGCTGAGCTCAGCACACGTATCCTTTATTTGTTTAATGTCTTTTTTTCACTTACTTCCTGAATTATTCAACTAAATGTAGCCTTTTTGCTGAATTCAGCCATCTGATAATGTTTTGCATAATCTGACCATCTTATTTTTGTTCAGTCATGTAATCGTTCGTTATTCCACAACTATGTATGGTGTCCAACTACATCAATTTCTGTGGAAGATTTTTAGATATATAACAATAAAATATATGTAAGTATCAACCTTAAGAGGCTTCCAGAACAGAAAAAGAGATAAGATACAGGAAACTACTAGACCATGTGGTGTACTGAGCTACATGGGAGTCCCTGGCTACAGTATGGAGCACCTGAATCTTAGAAAGATTGAGATGAGTGGTGTCCTCTGCCAGTCAAGTGTTTTAAAGAATAATCAGTGTTTTAGTTAAAAAAAAAACAAAAAACTTATGATCTTGTTAAATGCAAATTCCAGGGTGCCAAAACAGACTTAATGTATCTGCATCTCTGAAGCTAGGGCTGAGTAACCTACATTTTAACAAATATGCTAGGTGATTTGTATAAGCCAGTGAAGTTTGAAACCACTACTCTAGATTAACTAACATCTACTTGGAGACCTGAGTAGCCAGTTTGATTTCGTTCAACTCTTGTTTCTTCCTCAACATACATACAACAAGCAGGCATCAATTTAAGAATATAATTCAGTGGGAGAGATTTCTAAGATAGCACTAATTCAATTACCAGACTGATTTTTGCTTTTGAACAAGGGTCAGTAACATTCAACTTGCAACCCGCTCCATAACCGATGAAAACACGGGGCAGTCAAGGTTACTGATTAATAGTTCAGACCTCTGGGTCCAGATTTCCTGGGCTTAAGTTTTAGCTCTGCCGCTCACCATCTGTGCAGCCGAAAGCAAGTAACCTAATCTCTTTCTGTACTTCAGGTACTTTCATATGTGAAACATGGTTCACAGTGAGATACCTACCTCATGAGCAGCTCTGAGAACAAAAAAAGTTAATATATGTAAAGCACTTGTTGCATGTAAATTGTTAACTCAGGTAAAAGCACTTGGAATACGGCAGGGACAATAAAATGTTAGATATCATCTTTAATCTCAGTCTCTTCATTCTTTGCTTCACTTGACCTAACTTAAACTACTTTTCCTTTCCTTGCTCATCCTTTTCTTGTTATATTTTCTCATAAACATGCTCAGTATTTTTCTGGAGAGGCCCATGAATCAGACTGTTAGGGTGCAGGCTTCCGAGGCTTCCCCAGAGAACAAAATACACAGGCATAGAGATGTAAATTCAAGCAAAGTCTTTATTCAGCCAACTATGCACGATAAGCTTGGTATGTAAGATTTACTGACCAAGGTTAGCTGACCAAGGGTCACAGCTGCCCACCACCCGGTGCTCATGATTAACTTGTTTTTCAAGGCCTTACCCAGTTCCAGTTTTTCTTTCTAAGTCACATACTCAGAAAATGGCTTCTAGGCCTTTAAGATGGCTATGCTTATGCTAACCTATTTCTATTCTTACACAGACATGTCTGATCTTCATCTGAGGGTTGCGTGAGGGGACATTTTTTCCCATTAGAGGGTTGGTTCAACCTGGGTCAGCACGGTCCTTCGGAGAAACAATTTGTCCTTGGAATAATAGAAATCTAGAGATCCGATACTCAATTTTTATCTTGTAAGACGAGTAAATAATTCCTCTTCCTCTTCAGTCGTGGATGTGTATCAACCCAGGAGCAACTGGACAAATAAAACACCTGAGACAAGATGGATTCACTTGAGCCAAGGGAAACAAAATTTTACTTATGGACTGGGAGGGAAGTCATAGCCAGTTAGGCACAGTCTCAGAGCCTGAACTTGAATTCTGCCACATATCCTGCTTGTGATGCCTAGTTCAGGAGGGTGGACTCTCAAAATTACCTTATCTTAGTGGAATGTCCGGTATTTTACAAGATTGTGGTTCCAATCCCTGGCTACCACCAATTAACCAACTAACCTGTGAGTTAGCCCAGAAAAATGAGCTAATCCCGCTTCCCAAAATGAATTTGCAGCCTTTGTGGTTTCAGCCTTTGTAAAACCCTTCTCCCCTTTGTTTTCAGGGAAGAACTTTGAGTTCACATCTGCATCTGTATTCATGGATTGCAATCCCCTAGACAATGAATAAAGCTTTCCCTTTGTAGTTTAAGCCTATCCCAGTTTTACTTCCAAAATCAGTTGACAGTAGCACACTCCCTAGCCTTCAAAATGAAGTTATTAGAAGTGAGAATTTGCTGAAAATACACAAATTTGACAGTTGGCATTTACATCCCCTACTTATTTGTATATGATGAAATGCATCTTGCAGCTTTTCCGTAGGGGACTGTCTGAAAGCCTCTGCTCTGGGAAACATCTCTTTATTTCATGCATTCTTCTTTTAATGTGACTGTAATGGGGTTTGGAAAAACAATCTCCTTATATACCCCACTACTCTAAAATTCTGTAAAATTTTAGTGCAATTAAACAAACTTAAAAAATAATACAAATTGAATATTTTAAATCCCAATTAAGAAAATTTTCGATGCATTTTAAAAATAGATGATTACTTTAGAAATTGACCCCTTTGATTAGTTAATGAGAAGAATTTTTAAAGCTATGTTTAAAGATGACTATGTATTTTTTATCAAGTTGTATATTTTATTAACAAGTTAGAGGTGTTCTTTATGTGTTATGGATATAAGTACTTTATCACGTATATACTTTGTAAAATCTCTTAGTCTGTGACTTGCCTTTTCATTTCCTGAAGAGTATTTTTGGAAAAGCAAAAGTTTTTAATTTTAATAAAGTCTTATTTTTTAATGACCTATACTTCTCATTTCCCATATAAGAAATCATAGCCTAATCCAAATACCAAATATTTTCTCCTACTTTTTTTTCTGAAGTTTAAGAAATTTCATTTTTATAAGATCTATTTTCCATTTCAAGTTAAAGCATAAAAATATTTGGACAGACATTTTACCAAAGAAAATATGTAAATGGAAGATAGGCATAGGAAAAGATGTACAGTATCATCAGTCATTAGGGAAGCCAAATGAAAACCGTAATGAGATACTTCTGTATTCGTAGTAGAATAGCTATAATTCAAAAGACTAACAGTAGCAAGTGTTGGTGAAAATGCCGAGAAAATAGAACTCTCATACATGGGTAAGCAACATAGTACAATTAGTTTGGAAAATAGCTTTGCAGTCTCTTAAAAAGCTGAACATAAATTACTGCATGATCCAGCAATTTACTCATAGGTAACATATAAGAAAACAAAAACAAAAGCCTATGTTCACACAGAAACTTGTGCACAAATGGTGATAACACTAGAAAGAACCCAAATATCCTTCAACTTGTAAATTGCCCAGTGGGCAATAAAAAGGAATTAACTACTGCTCCAAGAAATGACACAGATGAATCTCAAAAACTTTATGCTGGTTGAGAAAAACCAGACTCAAAATATTACCGAGCAAAGCTGGGCTCATCTGCCTCTGTACACTGCATGCCAATCACTGAGGTCCGGGTCTTTTGCAGAGAGAAATGTTTACTGCCAGGTATCCAAGCAAGGAGAGGGGAAGTAGGGCTCAAAATATGTCTCCCCCAACACAAGGAAGAAAGGATATTTTAAAGTATTTGGGCCAAGTGAGGACTAGAAGCTTCAGGGGCATGGGAAGTATGACTGGTTGAGGAAATTCTCATTCCCCTTCATTTCAGGCCCAGGCTGCAACAAATTAGTGGCACCCTTTGCCTCTGATTGCCTTACCTGCTTCCAGGAGCTGCCATTTTGGTTCTGTTGCCTGAGGAATTTTTGTTCCAGGGCATCAGAAAGGTCATTGACCTGACATTCAGATTCCTTCTGAGCGGGGTCAGATGAGGGGTCTGCAGGCTTCACCAGCTTGGGTTGGTCCTCTCTGGGTGAAGCTGGCTCTCAGGGTCCTGAAAAGTATCTTAGCTTTGTGACTTCTGTGTCATGGAGATTGCTGCAGAAAAAGCAGCACAGACTTCTCAACTAAAAGGTCACTGGTTTCAGGCCAATTCACCCTGTAGTGTATGGTTTCAAAAAGACTGCATACAAGGGTGATGCCAAGGTTCTTGTTTGTAGAGTCAAAGAAGGAACTTAGCAAACACCCAAGGTAGGAGAGCCAGGGAGAGGCTTTTATGCAGAGATGCAGTGAGAGGACAGAGCTCTGGGCTAATGCCAGGAGGAACAAGAGAGCCCTTGATGGGCGTTGTCTAGGGGATTTATAGTTGGTTGAGTATTTTCAGGAATGTGGGTAAGGGGTAGCGGTGCAGACTTGTAACACCTACCTGCCTAAAGGTGGACTGGGTTGTTGTCTGTTTGCTAGGGCTGTTTACAGTGAGGTCACGGGTTATGCTGAGATACCCTTCTTTATTTGCGGAACACTCAAACATTCCAGGACAAGTTGCTCCTGGCCTTTTGATCTTTAAATGATCTCACTGAAGATGTCTATATTCCTAGTCTGGTATCTTTACCCTAGAGAATTAGTGTGACCTTGACTTTGCATAATGCTTAACACAGAGTTTCGATAGGGACTTCTTTGCACATTGTTACATTGCTCTGACTGTAAATATCCTGCCTTGCTTTTTCCAAAGGCCCTCACCCTACTCTGACTACACCCATGGTCCCTGTCTCAATAGGATTCCATTTACATGAACTTTTAGCAAAAGCAAAACAATAGTCATGGGAGCAGAGTGGTTTCCAGAGGCTGGCAGTGGAAGTAAAGTACTGACAGAGAAGGGGCTGAGGGGATTCTTTCGAGTTAGGAAATATTCTTCATCTCTACTAGGACACTAGTTGCATAATTATATGCATTTGTCAAAATGCACAGCAGCGCACAAATGCTCAGCACTTAGACAGGCATGTGGTCCTGCAGACACAGACACCCCAAGCTGGGCTCCCCGAGAACAGAGGCTGAGTCTCCCTAAGGTAGACATCAATAGCAACATCCTGGAGATCAGAAGTTCCCTGCAGGCAGACCCCCTTTCTCTCTCCATCAGAACGGGACATGCTGAGGGCAGAGCCGAGTCCCTGCAGCTGAGATCTGCCACAGTTCCCTCCCTTGGTCTGTTTGGCCATCTCCCCATTCCTTGGGGCTTCCCTGTGTCTCCTGTGGTCACTTCACTCTCAGTGGCAGGGATGGCGGCAGATTCCCAGCATCTTGGACATGGCCAGTGACTCAGTTCCCTCACCTTCCTTCCCCTGCCTGAAGTGTGGACTTAAAATTGCTGAATTTTATTGTATGTAAATTATACTTCGATAAGCTGACTTGAAAAATGCAGATTAAAAGGCCTTTAAATTAAAGAACAAAGTGATTCACAAATTCCCATTTGTTCTCTCCCCAAAATGAATGAGGTAAATGTTTTCTGTGTACATAGACATATTTTATGACATTTATATTGTGCTGGAGGAATATATTAAAGCTTTTAGTTCAATGTAAACACTGACAATTTTAACAACACCCTTTCTTTGCAGTGGAAATGGATTACAATGACAAGGAAGTAAGAATTTAGTTATCTTATCTGAATTTGTTTCAGTATTTAAAACCCATTCACCTTGTCTTCTACTGAAAATTTTAAGTACTTTGTATGTGACTACAGCATTTTTCTCTGGGAGAATTTGAAGTATCTGGAACTATTTATTCTTTAATGAAAAATTGGAGAACCAGTTCACATAGAAGTCTTCCAGAATACATTATATTTTGTATTAAAATATCAGAGTATCATGATCTTTATTAACATTAACATTATATTGTCAGTGCTTTTTGTGATTTTTAAACCACCTAAAATCCTTTTGGAAACAAGGTGAAAGAAATGAGTGTAGAAGGGGACATTTGAGATTCCCAAAATATGTAAAATTTTCTCAAAATACATAATAATGTTCTATGAGACCACAAATAACAAGCTCATAATGTAGATTTGGAAATAAAAACTAAGAAAATAAATAACATGGCATTAGGTACTCTCTTGCCTGTAGTCTCTGAGCTACCAAAAATGAGGATTTAAATATTAAAACATGTCATGGCTGATCACACCACTTTTAGTATTCAAATACAAAGTGTTTGGAAAGAGCAGGCTGTGGAGAATTCAAAGGGAGAGTACCAGTAACTTACAGTGCCTACTTCCCACTGCCACGTGTATGACAATGAAGTGTGAGAAACTACCTACAGGATTTCAGGAAGAATAGAGAAAAGAACTAGGATTGTCAGATCCTTCTGAGGTGACTAGGTGTGGGTAAAATTGCAGTATTTCCGTAATCTCTCACCTGGCTTTAGTGTATCTCCATATCAACAGGTGTTCCTAAGGGATGGAGAGAGGTAGTTCATCTCCATATCAGTGGGTAATTATCTGGGCAACTGAGGGCTTATCTGAACCTGAGCAGTGGAGGTGGGGGAGCGATTCCCTTGCTTCTGCTGGGGCAGGAAGAGAGACTGCCCCTCCCCCGACCACTGTTTGTAAGCACTAAATGGGTTTTAAAGCTTTATTTCTCCCTTTGACTGATTTTGGTTTCAGCTAGGTATTTTGCCCTGGGATTTCCTCTCCCCAGAGTTACACCAGGCCTTAAGCTGACCTTGCTGGACTTACAAGATTCAGATGAGTTGAAGGAGAACAGAGAGTGGACTTGAAACAGGACATGGGGAATGGACTGAGGCTCGTATAGGGTAGAGAACAGTCAGAGTAAGTTTGGCAACGATTCCCACCATGTCCACCAATGGCTCTAGATCATCAAACCAGGAGGAATGGGGTTGAATAAAAATACAGTTTCCAATGGAATTAATGAGAATAAAATAGAAATTACCATGGACTTCTGATAAAAAATGGTGGCTATCCAAAACAAAATACAAGCAAATTTTTCAGAACCGAATGACATTCATATCTGGATTGAAAGAGTCCAATGGGTGTTCACCAAAGTGACTAAGGTGAATGCAAACCAGACATGTATTTGTGGAATTTCAGAATGCCAGTGATAAATAAAAAATCCTACAGGCTGTGAGGCAGCTAAATCAATACAGAATAAAAAGGGCATCAGCATTTTCTCTCTCAGAATTGGAAACTTTAGACAATAGAGTCATGTCTTCCAATAGTAGGCAGGAAAATTAATTTCAGCTCACAGTTATGTACTCAAATTTTCAGTAATGTGAAGATAGAAAATATCATTTAGATATGCAATAACTTTTTTGTTGTTTTTGTTTGTTTGTTTTTATGTTTCCATGCATCTTTCTCAAGAAGCCACTGAGGAGGAACCCCACAAAATGAGGTAAAATGATAAACTAAAAGAGAAAGAAAGATTGTCCAACATTCACAGGGAAAAGTGATAACCAGATCTAAAAGTAATTGGTGGAGATTCCAGTATTTGAATGGAGGATGGAAATCTTAAGAGAGAGGGCTCAAGAGAAATAAAAACTGTGACAATGCCTTTCAGAAATGTTGGAGCTTTTGAAAAAAAAGAAATACTGCTAGCCATAAAGTGGTAATGGTAGAAATACTTTATAATGGGTACGTTAAAATTATGCAAGTGAACAAGAAAAGGAATGTGATCATAGTGCTTCATTTGGCTCTGCAGGGAATAATATATAGAGGCATAATTATATAAATATTGGTGTTATTTAAATAACTATCGGGAGAATAGGACAAAAATAGGAGCTGGGGGTGAGGTATTATGTGATGTGATGATGTATGTTATCATTTGAATTCCTTCTCCTTGATCCTTGTCCCACTTAACCAAGAATTGAAAGGCAAAGACACAATAGTGAAGCAGGGGGAAAGTTTTACTTGAATACATTCCAAGGCAGGAATGAGCCAGAGTCAGGGTTGGCAATGGCCCCCATCTGGTAGGTGGGAGGTCTGTATATTTCATTTTTGCTGGGAGGTGCCTGTTTTATTGCCAAAGTGGGGTTATTTGATTGATGGGTCCACCTGTATAGCCATCTGTCTCAGTGCATATGTCCCTTTCTCTGATGAGCATCTTATGGGCAATTCTTAGTTTTGATCATTGTGCCCACATTGGGATCACATTGGGACCAGTTTGGCCTGATAGGCAAAGAAGCTATTACCCTGTAAAGTGTTTGTTGTCTTCTCCTGGGACCCCCTGCCTGGGCAGAGTTTGGGCAGTTTTTCCTTGAATATTTGTCTTCCCCTTTCCTCCAGCTGCTCATGTCCATCTTTCTATCTAACAACAATGCATAGTCTTCATTAATAATAACAGAATATCAAGAGTCAATGTATAGAGCAAGAACATAGGGCATATCCTCTACCATTATAAATACATGAACGGCAAGATAATTGCACATCAATAGTTAAAAACTGGTTTCTTCTGGAGAACTGAACTGGAGAATTCAGTTAGTCAAATGATAAAGAGAAGGTCATCTATTTTTTTATTAAGTATTTTAGTATTTATTCTTAATTTTATAATTTTTTAAACTTTTTTCTAATGAGAAAATGACATAATTGAGTTTATAATATTGGAAATGTTTACAAAAAAGTTATGCAACTTCCCATCTAGCACTGAATAAAATTACCTCCCAAGACATCCTTTATGCTGCCTGCTTCAGGGTTTTAAACTGTTGCAAAATGACTGAACTTGCTGACTAACCTAAGGAATGGTGCTCCTGGGGCTGCTTGGCAGTGTCTGTTGCTCCCACCCCCTCAGGAGTTTCCCAGGTGAAATTCAAAACTGGCCCCCATATATGGAGGGCAAGGAAAGAGCAAAGAAAGAGGCAACCCACTCCAGACTGATAGGTGACAGGTTTAATAAGCAAGGGAACTTACGCAAGAGGCTTGTCCTGGGTGGCTGCAAGATGCGATTTCTGCATCTACCTGCCAGAATCTTAGAAATTTACACAGAAGCCTTACCTGGGTTCAATCATGTTTCAGTGATGGCCTTAACAACACCTGACTCTCTCAAGGCTGCATGTCCTTGAAAGAGCTGCTGCATGGGGAGAGTAGGCGGAAGTACATCCCCAGGACAGGGGAGGGGATGAGGAGCCTGCAGTTGCCTGGGTCCAGCTAGTGGGCCAGTCGGTGGTCACATACTCCACATGTTGTCCTCCAGCAGTGCCATAATAAGCCAATA